GGGGGTTGTCCAAGGAGGAAGCTCGAGCGGGGACGGGGGAGGGGGGTCGACAAGAACCATTCACCCGTCATCGTCACGAGTCGTCGCTCGTCTGTCGTCGGCCGTCGACCGCCATTCGCCATCAGTCCTCAATCGTCACCCGTCAGTCGTCCGTCGTCGGTCGTCCGTCGTCCTCGTCGTCGGTCGTCGTCGTCGTCGTCGTCGTCGTCGTCGTCGTCGTCATCAACGTCGTCGTCGTCGTCGTCGTCGTCGTCGTCGTCGTCGTCGTCGTCGACGTCGTCGTCGTCATCGTCGTCGTCGGTCGTCGTCGTCATCATCGTCCGTCGTTGACCCGGTCGTCGGTCGTCGTCGTCGTCGTCATTTCGTCCCTCCCTCACGCTGGGAGCGCCACGGATCCGGACGGCACTGCCGGGGCGACACAATAAATGATTTTGCCTCTTGGGGGCCCTCCTGGAGGACCTCTTGGAGGCCTCTTGGGCCGTCTTGGAGGCCTCTGGGGGGCCTCTTGGGCCGTCTTGGGCCGTCTTGGACTCTCTTGGGCCGTCTTGGAGGCCGTCTTGGACCATCTTGGGCGAACTTGGAGGCCATCCTGGACCATCTTGGAGACCATCTTGGGCCAACGTGGCCATCTTGGCGCCATCTGGAGCCATCTTGGAGGATTTTTTTCCGGATTGAGCACCTTCCCGGGACCCCGGCGGGACGCGCCGGAGGCCCAGGGGGAGTTCTTTAGGAAAAGAACCAGAACCAAAACCGAGAGGATCTAGCACGTCAAGCACCCCTGTGACGAACCAACAAGGGGCGGCAGATTGATGACGCCTACGACGAATCACCGCCGCCCAACGTTGTGGCCAGAGGCCTGCCAAGCTATCGGATCATGTGTTCCCCGAATCGGTTTGGAAAGCGTTCGGGGAACACCGCGGGCGAGGCTGGGCCGACTTGGGCCTTTCTTGGGGTGCTCCAGGGCCGTCTTGGAGGCCATCTTGAGCGTCTTGGAGGCCTCTTGGGCCGTCTTGGGGGCCTCTTGGGGCCGTCTTGGGGGCCTCTTGGGCCGTACTGGCGCCATACTGGAGACCTCTTGGGCGATCTTTGGGGGCTCTTGGGCCGTCTCGGGCCGTAGGAAGGCCGAAAAACGCAAATGCCACAATCCTTCAAAAACTCTGGGGAAATCAATGATTTTGGCCTTTTGGGCGTTCCTAGAGGCCCTCTTGGAGGCCTCTTCTTGGTGGGCTCCTGGCCCGTCTGATGCCGTCGGAAGCCGTTTGGGGGGCCTCTCTGGGCCGACTTGGGGCCTTCTTGGAATGCTCCAGGGCCGTCTTGGAGGCCATCTTGGGCGTCTTAAAGGCCTCCAGGGCCGTTTTGGGGGCCTCTTGGGGCTGTCTTGGGGGCCTCTTGGGCCTTTCTGGGGCCATACTGGAGACCTCTTGGGCGATCTTTGGGGGCTCTTGGGCCGTCTCGGGCAGTAGGAAGGCCGAAAAACGCAAATGCCACAATCCTTCAAAAACTCTGGGGAAATCAATGATTTTGGCCTTTTGGGCGTTCCTAGAGGCCCTCTTGGAGGCCTCTTCTTGGTGGGCTCCTGGCCCGTCTGATGCCGTCGGAAGCCGTTTGGGGGGCCTCTCTGGGCCGACTTGGGGCCTTATTGGAATGCTCCAGGGCCGTCTTGGAGGCCATCTTGGGGTCTTAAAGGCCACCAGGGGCAGTTTTGGGGGCATCTTGGGGCGTCTTGGGGGCCTTTTTTGGGGCAATCTTGGGAGGCTCTTGGGCGTTCTTGGGCGATCTGTGGGGACTCTTGGGGCCGTCTCGGCCGTCGGTAGGCGAGAGAAGCAAATGCAAAGTTCCTTCAAAAACCCAACGGAAAACCAATGATTATAGCCTCTTGGTCTCATTGAGCACCTCCTGGAAGGCCTCTTGGAGTCTTTGGGCAGTATTGGGCCGGAGACTAGAGCCAAATTCGGGCATCTTGGTGGGCCCTCCTGGCCGTCTGAAGCCGTCGGATTGACGTTTTTCGGATGGGCCTCTCTGGGCCGATATTGGGGCCCTCTTGGGGTGCTCCAGGGCCATCTTTGAGGCCATCTTGGGCGTCTTGGAGGCCTCTTGGCCCGTCTTGGGGGTTTCTTGGGCTGTCATGGGGCCGTCTTGTAGGCTTTGTGGGCAATCTTGAGGCGATCTTGGGGTCTTCTTGGGCCGTCTTGAGGCATCGGAATGCCGAGACGAAGCAAATGCCCAAATCCTTCAAAACCCTAAGTAGAATCAACGATTTTGGCATCTTCGGGCCCTCCTGGAGGACCTCTTGGAGGCCTCTTAGGCCGTCTTGGGCCGTCTTGGAGGCTTCTTGGGCGAACTTGGAGGTATCTTGGACCCTCTTGGGCCGTCTGGGAAGCCACCTTGGACCATCTTGGGCGAGCTTGAGGGCCACCTTGGCCGTCTTGGAGGCCATCTTGAACCGTCTTGGAACATTTTTTGCGGACGTTGACGTCGTTTCCGGTCCTGGGCAATCCTTCCGGGACCCCAGCGGGACGGGCCGAAGCCCCACGGGGAGTTCTTTTGGAAAATAACCAAAACCAAAACCGAAATAACTTGGCACGCCAGGCACCCCTGCGGTTCTTCTTCGATCGTCGATCTTCTTTCCTTGTTTGAACCTCGGTAGTCGATCTTCGATTGAACGTCGAACCTTTATCCTTGATCCTCCTCACCCTCATCCTTCCCCCAATTCTCCGCATCCTCTACCCTCCACGTCAGTCTTCACCCTGCAGGGCGATGATAAACGCAGTCGGTGGACAAAATGTCGCAAGTTATCTGAGCATTATGATAAACAGCGTGCCAATTAGGGTCAGATTCCATCGATCTCTGAGGACCCCCCCATCCCCACATTTCAATGTTGACTTGCATTATTTTGTCCGCCCAGACTTGGGGTGCTCGCGTGGCGCCAACATTGAGATGTAGGGGGCGGGGATTGTTCGTCGAGGTGGCGCCGCAATGTAAGTGCAGCCGCGCGCGTTCAGGAGCAACTTGCAAAATTTCGTCGTCCCACCGATGGAAGTACAGACGTTTATGTGACTCGAAGTGCACGTGCATCTGACAATCAAGCACCTCATCAGCCGCAGTTCCCATCCCTACCAGACAGCCGGCAACGAGTCAATGCGCTATCCCTGGCTACGGTGCAACGTGGTGGAGCTTCCAGAGTAAAACGTGTGTTTGTTCTCTTTGGGCTCGCGGGGAAGTCTTCGTGTCCTCTGATTGTATGTCCTGGCCTTGCAAGCACATCGTCTTCGGCACCGCCTGATCCCGAGGCTTTGCCCCCTCCTGGCCTTGACGTGAGGCCTCTCCCTCTGCCCCCCCTCTTTGTTAATTCAGGCTTCGCGCGGCCCGCTTAGTCGCGACCGGAAGTGGTGCGCTCTCGACCCGCGAATCCAAACAAAAATATTTCCTGGCCTTTCCGAGGCAGCCCACGCGGCAGCAAGCGACGCAGCCAATTAGGCATCCAACGAAGCATCCAGCAAGACCGCCAAGAAGGCAGCCAACGAGGCAGTCAACAAGGCAGCCAACGAGGCGACCAACAAGGCATCCAACGAGGCAGCCAATAAGGCAGCCAACAAGGCAGCCAATGAGGCAGCCGACAAGGCAGCCAACAAGGCAGCCAACGAAGCAGCACACGAGGCAGCAAACAAGGCAGCCAAGTGCGCCAACGAATCAGCCAACGAGGCAACCGGCGAGCAACAAATGCCGCCAAGATGGCAGACATCGAGGCAAGCCTGCAAGGTAGCCTACGACGCAGCCAACGTGGCAGCGAAACCAGGCAACAACGAGGCAGCAACAAAAACAGCCAATCGTGGCTCCAACAAGGCAGCGAAAGTGGCAGGTAACAAGGCAGCACCAAGGCAGCCAACAAGGCAGCCAGAAAGGAGCCGACGAGGGTGCGACTGAGGCTAGGCCACCAAGGCTATCAAGTAGAACAGTTGACGGGGCGACCGACAATGCATGGTCAGTAATGCAGCCAAAAGAGCCAGCCAGAAAGGCTTTCTACTTGGCCGTCCGACGAGGAAGCCAATGAAGACTGGGCAGTGGGCACGCAGCCGACGAGGCAGACAACGAGGCAGCCGTACAAGGCAGCCCACATAGGCAGCTAAAGAGCGCATCATGGCTGTCAGACGGCCAGCGACGAGGCAGCCAAGAAGGTTGTCAATTTGGCGGCCAGCGAAGCAGCCAATGGAGCTGTCAACTTGGCCGTCCGCGAGCCAGCCGCTGAGTTAGCGCAGCGGTGGAATTGGTGCCCTGCGGCGCCAGCGAAAGCACGTGACCCGATTTTCTGGTCATCCTCGTTCCTTGTCGCTGGGGTTTGCCCAAACCAGCGTCGTCGCGGACGACAGGGCCAGTCTGCGAATGAGCCTTCTCGTCGCTGGGTTTTGTCCAGACCAGCAGCAGCGGGAACTTTGCGCGGCCCAAGCCAGCTTCGTTTCGGAGCGACGGGTCGGCACGAGGGGGATCCTGTTTTGGATCCCCCTGCCGCGGCAATTTTCAGCGGCTTAGAGGTCAAAGTCCAGCGCGGCATTCCGAAGTCGCAAGACTGCGGAGCGTGGGGGGCCCAAAGTTTGCGCGCCCGCGCTGGGCCTTGGCGCGCCCGACGGGGGCACCAACCACTGGCACGGCGGCCGACGCGGCAACCGCGAATTGGGGATCCAATAAATGGACCCCCACATGTCCGTAAGGGCATCCAAAAACGGGATGCCCTAATTGCGGATGCCCTCACTGTGGAGCAATAGTGCCGCCGATATAATGGCAGCGCGTGGACCGGCCCAGCGCTTCGATTGCGCGCCCAGTTGGTCGAGAGATTCGCGTCGCAGCCGCTCGGGCTCAAGGCAGGGCGCAGGTTGCGATTGTAGGAGGGGCTCTCGCCCAAGTGCATTTCTGTTGGAACCATGCCCCACTTCTCCGCTGAGGAGCATTCCCGTTTGAAGAGTCTCCAGGGGCATGGGAAGCAGCCGGCCGAAATCGCTAAATTGATGGGCCGAGATTTATCCAACGTGTTCCGCCACTTCCAACGCAATCTGCAAGGAGATTTGGCACCGAATCCCGTGGGGCGGCCACCTGCCCTGTCGGCGGCCCAGGTGGACAAGGTGGTCGAGACCACCGAGGCCATGGTTGTGGCTGCCGACGGCAAGTACCAGGTCACGGCCTTGATGGTTCGAAACGCTCGGGTCTCAGTTCGGCGCCGCGGATCTCCGACGCTACTCTAGAGTGCCATGTTATTCCGTTCGGTCGCCGTCGCTCGCGTTCGAGGTCCTATTTTCCCGCGCCTGCGATCCCCGATCGACTGGTCTCATCGCGATCGCGCGGGGCGCGTCGGATCCTCGATCGACGGTTCGCGCCCGATGCGATTCGGCGCGGGGTTCTTGCGCGCCCAGGCCCTGAAGCTGAAGTGTTCGGTCAAGAGGGTTCAGGAGGCGCTGCGCAGCCGCGGGGTGCGCTTCCGCCCCATGCGCGAGAAGCCCATTCGCACTGTCGATGACGAGAAGGACCGGCTGGCCTTTGGTAATCGGCACGCCAAGAAGCCCCCCAGCTTCTGGGTGAGTGGGATCCATGCGTATTTGGATAACAAGATGTTCCCGTTCTACCCGAATGGACAGGGCCGCGCATACGCGGCCAAGAGGGCTGCTCGCGGCACCTACCGCGCCAAGGGCAAGGGCTTGGCGAAGGGCCACGTGAAGCCGCGTAGATCATTGAAGGTCACCTTCGGCAAGGGCGTCAACGTGGCCGTCGCCATCTCCGCGAAGAAGGTTCTCATGTGCCACGTAGTCCCCAAGCAGTGGAACGCCGCGGAGGCGTCGACGATGTACTCGAAGTCCTTGTCGCCAGCGCTGCGCCGCGCGTACTCCGGCAAGACGCGCTTCCTGGTTTTGGAGGACAACGACCCCTCGGGGTACAAGTCCAAGAGTGCAGTGCAGACCAAAGTCGCTCATGCTATCGAGGTGCTGCCTTTTCCGAAGCGCTCGCCAGACATCAACCCGTTGGATTACGGCTTCTGGGACTGCGTCAACCGCCGCCTCCGCAAGCAGGAGGCCACCTACTCTTCTGCTAAGAAGGAAACCAGGGCCCAGTTCGTGGCGCGCCTCAAGAGGACCATCCAGCGCGTGCCCGAGGCCATTTTGACGCCCCTGGTGAAGTCCATGGGCCGGCGTTGCAAGGCCCTCCAGCGGGCGAAGGGGAAAGACTTCGAGGAGTGATGGCCCGGGCGGCCCTCGCGGCTGCCCACGCCGCGAACGTTCGGCCCCCCGCCGGCGGCCCGCCGTTGAGGGCGCGGGGGGCGCGCGAAGTTCGTGCCCAGTCGCCACGGCGGGGCGCCGGGACTTCGGGCCAGCCGCCCACCGGCCAGATGGGGGCAATTTTTTGAGTTGTATTTTCCCGACAGGCAGCCGATCTTGACGTGCGCTTTGTTTTGGCCTTCCCGAGAGAATCGGTTTGTCGCGGGGCCCCCCTGCCGATCTTGGCGTTGGGTTGCTCGGCCGAGGCCTGTCGGCTCAACCGCCGCGGGCCCCCGAAGGGCATGAGTTGGTTACTGAGTGACATGGGCCTCCTTCCAGCCGGCTCCAGGCCCTCGCCGGGGCCGCGCTCGGGTTGGGCCTGGAGCGCGAGCGGCCGCCCCTGGGCCGCGCGGCGGACTTGCGCGAGCCTGCGCGGGCTCGGCGCGCCAGGCTCCGCCTGGGCGACGCCGGCGCGTGGCCTGCTCAGCGCAGCTGGCGCGACAGGCTGGCGGCGCGGGCGCCGCGCCTGCATTTTCCGTATTTGAATACTCCAGTGCTATTTGCATACCTATTTGAATACCTATTTGAATACCTATTTGAAAACTCCACTCATATTGGGATTTGGATTTGCTACGAGCGAATAGTAGAATTAAAAAGGATATAATTTTTCTTTCTACCAAAAAGATCAAACATCGGTTTCCCCCATATAAGTGAAGTTTTCAAATAGGTATTCAAATAGGTATTCAAATAGGTATTCAAATAGTATTCAAATACGCGGGGAGTATTCAAATAGGCCAGATGCGGGCTGCGCGCGCCCCGCCAGCCCGTCGTCGCCTGGCGCGCCTTGCCCCGCTGCGCGGCCGCGTGCCCGCGACGGGCGACGCTCGCCATGTTGCCTGGGCAGCGCCCGGCGCAGCCCAGGGCGCGCCTGGCGCTGCAATCGCAGTGCGGGCCGCGCGCGTCCTCATCGCGGCTGGGGATCGGCCCAGGCGCGGGCCAGACCCGACGCGGGCTCGGCGCTTGTCGCCCTAGGCGCAGGCGAAGCCGAATGTATGGTTTTTGCTTTGCTGGCGCAGCGGAGGCAGCCCAGCGCGGCCGAGCTCCGTTCTGCGCGTCCCAGCCCCCGCGAGCTCAACATAGTGCAGTGCCGTTCAGGTCAGCCCAGCGCAGGTGAGTCCAGGTCAGCCCAGCTGGGTCCAGCTCAGAGACCAGCGAGTTGTGAACCCCTCGGTCCAGTGGCGGTTTGGCTCGAGCTCGCGCGCTCGCCCTCGCTTCTCCTCGCCGCCGCGCGACCGCCAGCATGGCGGTGGAGGCCCGGCAGGGCGCGCCCGCGGCCCGGCCCGAGGGGTCGCCCGTGGCCCAGCCGGAGGACGCGCCCGCGCCCCTGCTCGAGGCCGCGCCCAGGGCCCAGCCCGCGGCGGCGCAGCCGGCCGACGGCCGCGGCTCAGACTCCAGCTCCAGCGGCGGCAGCGACAGCGAGGGCGACGCTGCTGCCGACGAGCCCGACGCCGACTGGGTCAAGGAGGAGGAGAACGAGCAGGCGCGAAGCCACGTCTTCCTGGTGACCTACTCCGCCCTGCTCAACGCGCCCGAGGACGCGGGCATGGCGAACCCAGCCGACATGGACGACAGGGAGTTCTTCCGGAAGGCGCTCCTAGACGCGGTGGCCAACCTCGCCCCCGCCGCCGGCAGCCAGGGGGGGCGCCCGCGGACCAGGGCGTTGGAGGTCAACTTCCTGCTCACCGTCCAGGAGAAGCACCAGGACGGGAAGGTGCACTACCACCAGGCAGTGAAACTGTCGCACGAGACTCGCTTCCTGCCAATAAAGACTGCGCTCCGGCAGCGGTCGAAGCTCGCCTCTCACTGGAGCACCTCGCACACCGAGCTCTGGAGCGCCGTGCGCTACCTGACGCGCACCAGTGACAGGAAGAAGTCGGTCGACCGCAGCCCCGACGTCTGGGCGAAAGACGGCTCGGCGCCCAACCTCTACGAGATGGGCAACGAGGGCTGGGGTGCGAAGATGCACAAGCGCAGGCGGGAGCAGGCGGCGATGGCGGCGGGCGACCAGGTCCTTGAACGCAGCGCAAAGAAGTCGAAGGAGATCTTCGGGAAGCTGGACTTGTACGCCCTTGTCGTGACCGACAAGTTGCTGACGCCTCGCAAGGTGATGACGCACGCGCAGAAGAAGGGCTCCCTGGCCATGCAGAACTACGTCGCCCGCAACCAGCGGAAGTTGGCCGAGCTAATCGAGGAAGCTCTGGAATGGGAGGGGGCGTCGGAGAGGGCCGAGGAGGACGACGAGAGCGACTGGGGCCTCATCCTGCGGAAGGCTGCGTGCACGTGCGCTTGCGGCGAGGCGGGCTGCGAGTGGTGGGCGGCAGCCGTGGCCTTCTTCGACAGGAACCCGGGGGTCGACAGGGACTACTTGGCGGCGTGCTTGGTGAAGATCATCAAGGAAGGCCCGAGCAAGACGGCGCGCGTGCCTCTCATCGTTGGGCCGCGCAACGCCGGCAAGAGCACGGTCTTGGAGCCGGTGCTGACTCTTTTTGGGGAGGACGGCGTTTTCACGAAGCCCAAATTGGGCGCCTTCTGCCCCCTGGCCAAGCTGGTCGGCCCACAGCGTCGGTTCATTTTCTTTGACGACTACAGGCCTGTGGAGTACGCTTCCATGGCAGAGAGAAGCCCCACAGTGCCAGTCACGGACTTCCTGGCGATGTTTTGTGGCCAGAAGTTTCAAGTCCAAGTCAGCCAATGCTTCAACAACGGCCAGCCGGACACGATCTGGAAGCGCGGGGCTGCCATGACTGCGAAAAAGAAGGGCTTGTGGATGCCGAGCGACGTTGTGCCGCAGGAGGAAATCCGCCACATGCAGGCCAGAGTCGTCCAATTTGAGGCGAAGGGCAAGCTGAAAGAGGCTGATTTCAGGACCGTGCCTAAGTGCTCGGAGAGTTTTGCGCGGTGGCTGGTCACGGGTTCTACGTATTATGGGAACAGGCCCCCGCGGCAGCCAACAGCCCGCGAGGAGGCGCAGCCGCGCAAGGTTGTGCTGCCTTTGCCACCGTTGCCTGGCCCAGCTGCCTCTTGAATTAGGTGTCGCATCCTGTGTGGGCCTTCTCTTCGCACTGTGATTGTTTCAGACAACCATTTGTTTAGGGGAACCAGTCGGCACGGGACGCATGGGGCAAGTTTACAGACGTGGGGCGCACTGTTCTCGTTATTGTGACGCGTCACCTGGTCCAGCCGCTTTTTACATTAGATGCCACTTGTGGCTTTGGCCTCCTTTTCGCATGACTGTGTCAAACAAACATTTTTGTAGGGGACACCAGTCGGCACGCGATTGACAAAGCAAGTTGAGCAACGTCGGGCGCGCTCTTCACATCACGGCTACGCGCCAGCAGTTGGGGTGCATTATTGGTTTTGCTGGGGGGTCGCATGTCCAGAAAACTCTTCGCCCCCCTCCGTCGCCCTCATCATCGTCATCCTCGTGCCCCTCACTTCCGCCCCCCCCATCTCTGCCCGTCGGTGGGCGGCGCCCGACAGCACGGTGGCCGCCCGGGGCCCGAACGCACCCTGCATCACCCGTGGTCTGAATGCGCCACCATCGCCGCCGTAATCGCCATCTTCCGCGTGGTTGTCCCTGTTTCGAGGCGCATCCAGCCGTGGCGACGAAGGGTTTCCAAGAGGCCCCACAAGGCCCGACAATCGTCCGGGGGCCATGTGCTGATTTGATGAGTCTTCCGCACTCCCCCAGAATCCCCAGACCCCCCCCCCAATCTATCCTAAACCTTCGCACTCCTTTCAAAACTTGCAGACCCTCTCATTCCTCCACACACCCCGCCCTCCTCCCACGACCTCCAGGCCATCTCATTCCTCCACGCCCACCGTTCCGCACTCCTCCCAACACCTCCCGACCGCTCCCATTCTTCTCCACCCCGCGCCACTCTGGCAAAGACTTCCGGGATCCTTGCATTCCTCCTTCAATTTCCGGCTTCCTCCCAAAACCTCCAGATCCTCCCTCTCACCACCTCCGCACCCTTCCCAAACCCTACGGGTCCTTCCACACCCTTCCGCACTCTTCCCAACAAATCCAGACCTTCCCATTCCTCCACGCCCCCCCGCACTCCTCCCAAGACCTACAGACCACCTCCATTACCCTTATACCAAAAACATCCGCTTCGCGGAACCTCCCATTCCTTCTAAACCGCCGCTCTTCTCCCAAAGCCTCCAGGTCCCTCCCATTCCTCTCACAACCTCCGCACCCCTCCCAAAACCTGTGGGTCCCTCCGATCCTTCCGCGGTCCTCCCAAAACCTCCAATCCCTTCCCATTCTTCCACACCCATCCGCACTCCTCCCAAGACCTCCAGACCCCTCCCATTCCTTTCCATGCACCCCTCCGCACTCTACCGAAAACCTTTGGGAACCTTCCATTCCTCCCTGAACCTCCGCTCTCCTCCAAATCTTCCGGGCCCCTCCCAGCCCTCTCACAACCTCCGTATCCCTTTCAAAACCTCTGGGCCCCCCGATTCCCCTTCAACCTCCGCACTCCTCCCGAAACCTCCAGATCCCTCCGCATCCCCCCAGAACCTCCAGACCCTTTCCCATTCCTCACTCAACCTCCGCATTTCCCCCAAAAACTTCAAACCCCTCCCATTCCCCCACATCACTCCGCACTCCTCTGAAAGCTTCCTGGTTCTCCCCATTCCTCTCTCAACCTCCCCACCCCCCCAAAACCTCGAAAAGCGTGTCGTCCCTCCTCTTCTTCCTCCTCCTCCTTTGTTCTCTCCTCCTCCTCCTCCTCATCCTCCTCCTCCTCCTCCTCCTCCTCCTCTCCCTCCCACTCCTCCTCCTCCTCCTTCTCCTCCTTCTCCTCCATTCCTCCCTGAACCTCCGCTCTCCTCCAAATCTTCCGGGTCCCTCCCAGTCCTCTCACAACCTCCGTACCCCTCCCAAAACCTCTGGGCCCCCCCATTCCTCCCACAACCTCCGCACTCCTCCCGAAACCTCCAGATCCCTCCGCATTCCCCCAGAACCTCTACACCCTTTCCCATTCCTCACTTTCCTCACTAAACCTCCGCATTTCTCCCAAAAACTCCAAACACCTCCCATTCCTCCACATCACTCCGCACTCCTCTGAAAGCTTCCTGGTTCTTCCCATTCCTCTCTCAACCTCCCCACTCCCCCCAAAACCTCGAAAAGCGTCTCGTTCCTCCTCTTCTTCCTCCTCCTCCTCCTCTCCTCCCTCCTCCTCCTCTCCTCCTCCTCCCCCCCCCTTCTCCTCCTCCTTCTCTCCTACCCCTCCTCCAATGCAACGCTGCTATCAGGTGGAACCTCGAACGTCGATCTTCCTTTTCCTTGTTTGAACCTCGGAGTCGACCTTCGAATGACACGTCGAACCTTTACCTTGATCCTCCTCACGCCTCTATCCTTCCAGCCAATTCTCCGCATCCTCTACCCTCCCGTCATCTTCACCACTGAGGGCGATGATAAACGCAATGGAAGTACAGACTTTTATGTGACTCGACGTGCACGTGCATCTAACAATCAAACACCTCATCAGCCGCAGTTCCCATCCCTACCAGACAGCCGGCAACGAGTCAATGCGCTACCCCTGGCTACGGTGCAACGTTGTGGAGCTTCCAGAGTAGAACGTGCGTTTGCTCTCTTTGGGCTCGCGGGGAAGTCTTCGTGTCCTCCGATTGTATTTCCTGGCCTTGCAAGCACATCGTCTTCGGCACCGCCTGATCCCGAGGCTTTGTCTCCTCCTGGCTTTGACGTGAGGCCTCTCCCTCTGTCCCCCCCTCTTTGTTAGTTCAGGCTTCGCGCGGCCCGCTTAGTCTCGACCGGGAGAGGTGCGCTCTCGACCCGCGAATCAAACAACATATTTTCTGGCCTTTCCGAGGCAGCCCACGCGGCAGCCAGCGATGCAGCCAACTAGGCATCCAACGAGGCAGCCAGCAAGACTGCCAAGAAGGCAGCCAACGAGGCAGTCAACAAGGCAACCAACGAGGCGACCAACAAGGCATCCAACGAGGCAGCCAATAAGGCAGCCAACAAGGCAGCCAATGAGGCAGCCGACAAGGCAGCCAACAAGGCAGCCAACGAAGCAGCACACGAGGCAGCAAACAAGGCAGCCAAGTGCGCCAACGAAGCAGCCAGCGAGGCAACCGGCGAGGCAGCCAACAAGGCCGCCAACAAGGCAGCCAACCAGGCAGCCAGCAAGGTAGTCAACGACGCAGCCAACGAGGCAACCAACGAGGCAGCCAACAAAAACAGCCAACGAGGCAGCCAACAAGGCAGCGAAAGAGGCAGCTAACAAGGCAGGTAACAAGGCAGCCAACAAGGCAGCCAAGAAGGTAGCCGACGAGGCTGCCGACGAGGCAGCCACCAAGGCTATCAAGTAGACAGTCAGCGATGCAGTTGACGGGGCTACCAACAAGGCTGTCAGTAATGCAGCCAACGAGCCAGCCAGAAAGGTTTTCAACTTGGCCGTCAGCGAGGCAGCCAAGAAGACTGGTAGTGGGCACGCAGCCGACGAGGCAGACAACGAGGCAGCCGACAAGGCAGCCCACAAGGCAGCTAAAGAGGCAGCCAACAAGGCTGTCAGCACGGCAGCCGACGAGGCAGCCAAGAAGGTTGTCAATTTGGCGGCCAGCGAAGCAGCCAAGGGAGCTGTCAACTTGGCCGTCCGCGAGCCAGCCGGTCACCCTGAGTTAGCGCAGCGGTGGAATTGGTGCCCTGCGGCGCCAGCGAAAGCACGTGACCCGACTTTCTGGTCATCCTCGTTCCTGGTCGCTGGTGTTTGCCCAAACCAGCGTTGTCGCGGACGACAGGGCCGGTCTGCGAATGAGCCTTCTCGTCGCTGGGTTTTGCCCAGACCAGCAGCAGCGGGATCTTTGCGCGGCCCAAGCCAGTTTCGTTTCGGAGCGACGGGTCGGAACGAGGGGGATCCTGTTTTGGATCCCCCTGCCGCGGCAATTTCAGCGGCTGAGAGGTCAAAGTCCAGCGCGGCATTCCGAAGTCGCAAGACTGCGGAGCGTGGGGGGCCCAAAGTTTGGGCGCCCGCGCTGGGCCTTGGCGCGCCCGACGGGGGCACCAACCACTGGCGCGGCGGCCGACGCGGCAATCGCGAATGGGGGATCCAATAAATGGACCCCCACATGTCCGTAAGGGCATCCAAAAACGGGATGCCCTAATTGCGGATGCCCTCACTGTGGAGCAATAGTGTCGCCGATATAATGGCAGCGCGTGAGCCGGCCCAGCGCTTCGATTGCGCGTCCAGCTGGTCGAGAGATTCACGTCGCAGCCGCTCGGGCCCGAGGCAGGGCGCAGGTTGCGATTGTAGGAGGGGCTCTCGCCCAAGCGCATTTCTGTTGGAACCATGCCCCACTTCTCCGCTGAGGAGCATTCCCGTTTGAAGAGTCTCCAGGGGCAGGGGAAGCAGCCGGCCGAAATCGCTACATTGATGGGCCGAGATTTATCCAACGTGCACCGCCACTTCCAACGCAATCTGCAAGGAGATTCGGCACCGAACCCTGCAGGGCGGCCACCTGCACTGTCGGCGACCCAGGTGGACAAGGTGGTCGAGACCACCGAGGCCATGGTTGTGGCTGCCGACGGCAAGTACCAGGTCACGGCCTTGATGGTTCGAAACGCTCGGGTCTCAGTTCGGCGCCGCGGATCTCCGACGCTACTCTAGAGTGCCATGTTATTCCGTTCGGTCGCCGTCGCTCGCGTTCGAGGTCCTATTTTCCCGCGCCTGCGATCCCCGATCGACTGGTCTCATCGCGATCGCGCGGGGCGCGTCGGATTCTCGATCGACGGTTCGCGCCCGATGCGATTCGGCGCGGGGTTCTTGCGCGCCCAGGCCCTGAAGCTGAAGTGTTCGGTCAAGAGGGTTCAGGAGGCGCTGCGCAGCCGCGGGGTGCGCTTCCGCCCCATGCGCGAGAAGCCCATTCGCACTGTCGATGACGAGAAGGACCGGCTGGCCTTTGGTAATCGGCACGCCAAGAAGCCCCCCAGCTTCTGGGTGAGTGGGATCCATGCGTATTTGGATAACAAGATGTTCCCGTTCTACCCGAATGGACAGGGCCGCGCATACGCGGCCAAGAGGGCTGCTCGCGGCACCTACCGCGCCAAGGGCAAGGGCTTGGCGAAGGGCCACGTGAAGCCGCGTAGATCATTGAAGGTCACCTTCGGCAAGGGCGTCAACGTGGCCGTCGCCATCTCCGCGAAGAAGGTTCTCATGTGCCACGTAGTCCCCAAGCAGTGGAACGCCGCGGAGGCCGTAGTTCCCAGCACTCGAAGTCCTTGTCGCCAGCGCTGCGCCGGGCGTATTCCAGCAAGAAGCGCTTCCCGGTTCTGGGGGGCAGCGACTCCTTCGGGGTGCAGGAGCGCAGCGCAGACACAGTTCCACAATTCCATCGAGGCGCTGCCTTTTCCGAGGCGCTCGCCAGACATCAGCCCGTTTAATTGCGGCTTCTGGGGTTGCGTCAACCGCCGCCTCCGCAAGCAGCAGGAGGCCCTCGTGCTCGCCTGGTAAGAAGAAAGCCAGGGCCCATTTCGCGGCGCGCCTCAGGCGGGCTCTCTAGCGCGTGCCCGAGGCCATCTTGACTCCTCTGGTGAAGTCCATGGCCGGCGCTGCAAGGCCCTCCAGCGCGTAAAGGGGAAGGACTTCGAGGAGCGATGCCCTGCGCGCCCCGCGCGGCTGCCGACGCCGCGAACACGCGGCCTTCCGCTGGCGGCCCGCCGCCGAGGACGCGGGGAACATGCGAAGTTCATGCCCAGTCGCCGCGGTGGGGCGCCGGGACTTCGGGCCAGCCGCCCACCAGCCGTATGAGTGTAATTTCTTGAGTTGTATATTTCCCGACTGGCAGCCGATCTTGACGCGCGCTCGCAATGGCCTTCCCGGAGTAAACATCCTGTCGCAGGGCCCTTTTGCCCATCTAAGCGCTGGCGTGCTCAGCCGAGGCCTGTCGGCTCATCCGCGGTGGGCGCCCGACGGGCATGAGTTGGTGCGGAGTGACGTTGACCTCCTGTCAGCTATTTCCAGGCCGGCGCCGGGGCCGCGCTCGGGCTGCGCCTGGAGCGCGAGCGGCCGCCCCTGGGCCGCGCGGCGGACTTGCGCGGGCTCGGCGCGGCAGGCTCTGCCTGGGCGATGCTGGCGCGTGGCCTGCTCAGAGCAGCGGGCGGCGACAGGGCGGCCCCGCGCCCGCCGCGCTTGCATTTTCCTCATTTGAATACTCCAGTGCTATTTGAATACCTATTTGAATACCTATTTGAATACCTATATGAAAACTGCAGCTATATGGAGATTTGCATTTGCTACGCGCGAATAGTAGAGTGAAAAAGAATGTATTTTCTTTCTTTCTATTTTCAAGTTTCAAATCGGTTCCCCCCCATATAACTGAGGTATTCAAATCGGTATTCAAATAGGTATTCAAATAGTATTCCAATGTACTGGGAGTATTCAAATAGGCCAGATGCAGGCGCCGCGCGCGCCCCGCCACCCCGTCGTCGCCTGGCGCGCCCTGCCCCGCTGCGCGGCCGCGTGCC